AAGGAAGGAAGGAAGGAAGGAAGGAAGGAAGGAAGGAAGGAAGGAAGGAAGGAAGGAAGGAAGGGAGGGAGGGAGGGAGGGAGGGAGGGAGGGAGGGAGGGAGGGAGGCAGACATGAAGGAAAGACAGATATGGAAGTGGCATTAAAGCTAGTGAAAAGGATTTGATCTAGCAATCACCTTAAGGTTGAAGGCTGAGTTCAAGTCCTGGGCAGGACACTTGTTGGCCAAGTGAGCTTGAAAAAATATTCTTTTACTTCTACAAATGGAAACTCTAGAAAAGATGATATCTGAAGTCCCATCTACCTAAATAAAATCAATATTCCATCAAACCACCCTGTCCCCAAATCCTGTTAACTTAGACAAATACATTTCCAGTAACTTTGAACTCATCATATGTTCCCAGTGCCTTTTTGGTCTTTGCCAGTTATCAGTAACTGTCTTTTCCTGTATGTTTACAATGACAATGAAGCATTTATCCCAGGAAATGTTATTTGTAGTCTTTGAATAAACCGTACCATGGGCAATCAAGAAAAGGAATACCATGAATACATGTTCTAACAGAAGTGTCTTAAGATGTTGTCAACAACATAAGAGTAAGAATAAAACCATAATAGTAATTCCTAATGAAGAGCAGAGATCTCCTGTGGTGTGGTGAAATGGGATGATGCTAGACTTGGTGGTCTGTTCCCCATTTGGTCTCTCAGTCACACTCCTGTCCCCTTACCTGCGTAGGAAGACACAGGAGAAATCTGTAGAGGGTAGAGCTCGCTCATGCTGACTGGCTGGTCATCACTCTCAGTGGTCACTTCCACAACTTGGCAAATGTCTGGTGGATTAGCGACGATCTCTTGGTCTTCAATGTTGCTGTCCAGATGGGACTGTCCTACAACTTCAAAGGACAGGGAGACCATCATCCCTCAAAGTGATTACAGCACACACTCTCAAAACAGAAAACCTTCCTCAGCTCAGACGGGCTGCCGACTAGGGTTCAGATTCCCGGCTTCCTCATGTCCCTGGCCAGGCCAGCTGAAAACCAAACTTGAGCTCTGTGTTAATGTCTCAGAGAAGCAGCCTAGAGTTACATATCTAGGGTTGGCCTACAAGTGTCCCCAGCATACCTGTGGATGGTACATCCTGGGGACAATGTCCTGAGTCTCAAACTCAGTCTGCTCACAGCCAAGACCTCAGGCTGCACCCTGACCAAATCTCAGGCCAGATGTCCTAATTCTCTAAACCCAATCTACTTCTGTTCTCTGTTCTTATTCTGCAGGAAGCTCCTATGCTTATTTTCGGGATTCTGTGGTCCAGAGATTGCAAAGCCTTCATTAGAAGGCAAAGACACAAAAATCTATCCACTATGCCATTTCCAGCCAAATGGAAAGGCTCATACATTTTCTTGATCTGAATGTAACCGACTGTCCAAAATATCAGAACAAATGTTTCCCAGATTCTAAAAAATGTTAATAGCATTAACTGTCTAAACACTGACAAGATGAAACTAAATAAGCTGACTCTGAAACTGCTTCTGTGTGTGTATATGTGTGTGTATATGTGTGTGTGTGTGTATATATATATATATATATATATATATATATATATATATATATATTTTTTTTTTTTTTTGGTGAAGAGAACAAGTGATGATGGGGTGCTGTGGGGAGAATTTTGGTTTCTGTAAAAACCCAGTTATGGCATGTGACTGTATTTTTGTTTTAATCCCAGGTGTGGAAGCAGCTGCTATGGAAACATGGTCACAGCAGGTGACTATGATTTGCCTCCTGCACTAGCAGGGGCGTGGTTTTGCTAGGTGCAGATAGTTTCTTCCAGTGTGTGACATTTGAAATTCTGGGAACTTTTGAAAGGGTACGAATGCCAGAGCCCAGAGAGGGGCCGGGCACATGCTCTGAAGAGGCTGCTGCTGCTTCCTGTTGCTGAGGTCCATCAAGTGGTCGTGGGCAAAGAGATGAAAAGAAGAAATCAGATATCCTGATGATGAAGAATGGACTTGCTGCAAGGAACTCGGCACCTCTAATCAGCACGAAGTAGTCTAAAATGGCCTAGACCCTCTTTCCCCTATAATCTTCCTTCTCACCTACCTAGTGTTGGGTTGGAAGGGATAAGAGTAGAATAAGAATTGGAAGAGTGGTAGACAGAAGACCCCCCCCCAACAAAACAAAACAAACCAAAACAAAACAAAACAAAAAGTATGCCTAGAGGGCTCCCAGACTCAACTGATAAATCTACAACACAGCCCCTACTAAGGCTCAGGGAACATCATAGAGAAGAGGAAAAAAAGATTTTAAGAGCCAGAGGTCCATGTTGTCTTCTCTGAGAAAGTATCTTTTACTTAAGACAAGTTACACAAACAAGAAGTAAACAGGACAACACCAGCTGACAGTGTAGATGGGGGAAATCCTATGTGACCCCCACTTCTAGGTAATTAATGACTAGGTAATTAATAGAGGGAGAATCGGTCTTCTTACCTAACAGGTCATGCCTAAACACATATACATACGAGCAACACTAAATGGACTCAGCAGACACTATTTTTGCATATATAACTAAAGACTAAGAGGTTTAGAAAAAAAAAAAAAACTAAAACTTTAATTTTTATCCAGAGATAACAATAAATTTATATGGGTGTAAGAAACACTACAGAAAGATCCTGTCTGGATCCTTTACTCCCCTAGCAAGCCACCAAGTTGTTAGTACCCATTGCTGGCTCTCTACTGCTGGTGTACATACTCTGCTGCTCTGCTGTTTAACTGTTGCAGGCTGTTGGAGAACATACTCCATCTGTTTAACTAGCCACCCACTGAAGGATGGTTGGGTAGACACCAGTCTTTGCCTACTACAGCCAAGGTTGCTATGAACATTTGTGTTCAAGTTTTCCACAAACACGTTTCCATTTCTCTGGGACAAACATCCAAGAGTGTAATTGCTGGCTCATGTGGAAAGTCCACGTTTAGCTTCACCAGAACCCGCCAAGCTTTTTCCCAGGGTGGCTGCATAGTTTAAATTCTCATCCGCAGTGTCAGAGTGATCTAATTTCTCTGCATCCTTGGCAGCATTTAGTGTTGTTAGGATTTTTAGTTTGACCATTCTTCTGGGCAAGTAATGATAGTCCACGGTGTCTTTCATTTCAGTGTCTCTGACGCTATGTTCTAACTTTAAACAGAATTTACTGTATCCTGTAGCTGGCAGCTGACTGGATAAAAAGTCCCTGAAAATTGGCTGTCAATTAGTACGAGAGAAGAAAGAAGTGTGTTAACACATTTTCCTAAGGTCCTCAAAGTACATCATCAACACTGTACTCACGCACATGGAGGCTGTTTCAACATTTCAGTCATCAGAATGAACCGTCCATATCCTGATACAGACAAAGGAGCTGGGCCATAGAAAGGCAGAAGGACTGACCCAGAGACTCAGTGTCACTTCTGCAACTACAAAATGCTCAGTTTTTGCCAGAAGAGGCCACATTCCAGTCTGCCCGAAAGTCATCGACTATCACCAGCTCTGGTTTCACCCACTCAGAGCACCTATATGCTGACCTATTGTGCACAAATTTTAAAACACCTTGAAGATTTATTTGACTACTTTGTGTGCACGTGAATGTAAGGGCCCTCGGAAGCCGGTGGCTTTCGGATTCCCTTGGGGCTCAGGCAACTGTGAGCTGTGAGAGCAGCTTGAGTGACAGGCAGCTGTGAGCTACTAACATGGGTGCTGGGGACTGAACCCAGGTCCTCTGCGAGAGCAGAACACACTGATGATATTATTATCTGGTATCATTATTATCATTATTATAATTATTATCTGGTATCATTATTATCTGGTAATAACGACGATATTATTGTCTGGTTTCCACTCATGGAAAGCGTCAGAGAGTGTGAGCATTCACAGGATCTTTAGTAAAGGGAGGCTGGGAATGATTACCATGGATGTGACATAATAGCACTCAAAGCCACGGCACACAGAATGGAAGGGAAACTGTATACTCTGTGGGTTTTCTTGGCAGCGAAAAAACTAAAGAGAAGAAAGATAAATCATGTATGGGAGGCAAAGGCCCAAAGTCTTGTTTGATACATTGGAGTATCCCGTTTGAGCGTGAGGGCGTCAGTTGTACAGCTCACTAGACTGTGAGCGTGCTGATAGTGCAAGCTCTGTGGTTTCCTCTGCCGCTTCTCTCAAGCAAAGTACGTGAAAGCGGAACAGAGAAAAAATTTGGCAACAAGACCAACTCTTATCCTATTGAAAGTCCTACAAAGTAGCTGGGTGATGATAAAAACCAAACAGGTGTGTGTGTGTGTGTGTGTGTGTGTGTGTGTGTGCTTGTGTGTGTTTGTATGCATGTATGTGTTTCTGTGTATGTATGTGTGTGTATATACACATGAATCCATGTACAGTATATGCATGAGGCAGAAGGGATAATGGAGCCAGGGTCCTACAATAACTTTGCATTTCAGTGCTCCAAAGCTCCTTTCTGCTTTGTGCTGTCATTCCCAACACAGACAGGAAGCTGGCTAGGACTATAAACAATGGCACAGCTCAGGTACCCTTTTCATCTGTCCTTTGTTCCTCCCAAGAGTTCTTTCTCTCTTTTCTTTTCCTCACAATGCCCAGCTTAGTTACTCAACCAACCCAGACTGGTCATGCACCTGCTTGGCACAGACACTGCTATCTGGTACCGGCAGGGGCAGAGGTGAGGCAATGGAGACAAGGAACAAATCTTTAAGTCTGTAGGGCAACAGGCCAGCATATCACCATCTAGGGGGGAAGGGGAAGACAGAAAGGGACAAATCAAGGGATGAAAGCAGAGGGAGATCCAAGTTGAGAAAGTAAAGTTTTTTGGTTTTGTTTTGTTTTACTTTGTTTTCCAGTCAGAAAACCCATGACATCAATAATGCTGGCCTAGAGGGAAGGCCCAGCTATGGGCACTGCCCAGATGGCCCCGTTCTCTACAGCCCTTCTTGAACCTGACCCACAGATTCACTTGACCTCCCCTAAGCCCCTCTCATACCCTGTAGTTGGAGCTGAGCCCATCTCAGTCTCTGCCTCAGTTGCTAGTTACTGTGTGCATCTTTATTTATCCCTTTATTTATCTCCTGAGAGCTGAGAAATGCCTTCAGCACTTCCCGTACTCCACCATGGCTCATGGCCATGGCTGACACCAGCCAAGAGCTCAAATGGACTTCGCCATTTGAACAAGTAATAAGGGAAGGGATGCAGGCTCAGCAACAGCCAGGAGTCTGCGAGCAGTTCATACAAGCTTGCAGACATGGAGCACAATGATGAACATGCTTTCTAGCAAATGCCAAGGCTTGCAGTGAGTGGGCTCGTTTAAACTTTCCAAAGTGAAAAAGACATACTTTGCTATGAGGAGTTGGGGTTCTGGGTTGATGATTTGGTGCTGATTACACAAGCAAACGCATTTGTCTAAACTTAAGAGAATTGTGGGGCTGTGGTATAACTCAGTGGTAGAATGTTGAATTATACACCAAAAAGGAATTTTGTCCCCTGTCTCATTTCACGTACGTGCCTTGAGAGAAAACGCAGACAAGTAGCTCTGTTTAAAATATTAGTGGATCCTGAACACTAGTGACTAGGGCAGACAGCTAAGTTTTTGTCTTCTGGGACTAAGGACTAGATGCCCTGTCCACACAATTGTCATCTCTAGGCCAAACTTCCCTCATTGGGCTGCACTCTTTTAAGAAAAAGGCAAGTTTCTCCATCCACACACTGGCTAGAACCCTTTGGAAGTCCCACGACACTCTCCTGCAGGGCCTCCATAGGAACAGGGAAACCCCAACGTCTCAGAAGCTCTTACGTTTGCACAGACACGGTCACTCGTCTATCTCTTTCTATGGCACACCTCTAGGTGCTAGATAATGA